AGTATTCCAAAGCCGGTGCCTGATACGAAACAGAATGTGGTAGATGGAGAAAGACTGACCGACTTGATAAGCTTAGGAGATCCAGGATGAAAAAATTACCTCACGGCTAGCAGAGCAATCTACGCTTCACATTCTAATAGCCTGTGCCACTGAGGATGAAATCTTGTGATTGGCAAGTCGTAAATACTGGAGCGTGAGGCTATACATAAATACTTAATGCACAGTTGTGTCACAAAGCAAGGACTACATCTGGCTGCATACCTCAGACGTCAGCTGTCTTGCAGATAAACTGGTATATATTGGCTAACTGATAACTACCGCCAAATGGATAGATATGCGAGGTTCGTACATTCACCCGTACAACAGAGTTGCGTCGCTTGCTTTCCAACTCAACGAGTAGCGTACGTATGCGAAGAAGTTACAGATACCAACTAAGAATATACCCAACCGTTCTAATTTTTGATTCCTACTCTCACCCAGTGTCTAAAACACAGCAAAGTAGATGACAAAAATTAATGCCAGCATGATTAATACCGAGCGTTTACGTTTGTAGCGCCAAGACCAATTTCTGTAAACAATGTGGCATCCATGCATGACAAGCTCTCATTTCTCACATTGTTCAACATTAGTTGCTCGAATCCGCGTCGTATTCATGCCGTTATCATATAAAATGATTTCCTTAGAGAACATCGAGCAGAGGGAAAAGTTTATATAGAAAAAAATTAAACCAGGCTCCACTGCGGAACTGGCATTGATATATGTTAGTGTCTTTTACATGACGGCTCGTCAATGTTAACCTTTCTTGAAAAATATTTGCCATCTAAAAGATTTTAAACAAGACTCTGAAATGTGTTTTAATTTGAAGATATTACTTTAGAATGGTTGTGCCATTAAGTTGTCAAAAGCATAATCCCAAGATATTTCAGACACATCCAAATGCCGACCCTTGAACGAGCTTTATTCCTGGTGTTTGAAAATTGCGTTCTGCAAATCCGTACACTGAATTTCAATATTCTGATGTTTTCAGTTACATATTTTAGAAAACAATGCACTAAAATATTGTTTTCTGTGCTCATTTGGAAGAAAACTGCGGCAATTGTGCGGGAAGAAAATCGTTTGATTTAAAAGTCTTTTTTCGATTCCCAAATGATTTTAAATCGCACGCGCCATTATACCTTAACCCGGAATTTCGCAACAACAAGCTGCATATTGATAGCGTAAAAATCTTGCGTTTGTATACGTAAAGGAGAGAATAAATGTGAAGCATGCTGCACAATTTATAAGAAACTTGAATAAAAAATAGACAGTGCTTTATGAATGGTGATTTCACAGTTACATTATATCGCGTAATAAAAAACCTTAAAACAGAAAACAAACATTTCCCAGACGCATAAAATCTGGAAATTTTTTGCCGCCTAATGAACACAGGCAACGCTATTTTGTATGTGTTTTCTGTTTATTATGTTTGAAGTTTTAAAGACATCGAAATTTGATGCGAAATATCTCCATTCATTAAGTAGGCATTTCTTACACATCGCAGTTTTGCAGGAGGTCTGAATGTACCCTGTTCAAAGGCCGACACTATGATGGAACTGATATATCTCGATATTACACTGCATTCTTATTAATGTCAAAACCCTAACTAAGTACTTTTCAAGGTTATGTAAATTTCGGAATTTTCATAAACCATAACTTTACTGCATGCAGATCTTCATTGATGCATTTGTGTTTATTACCTGACGTTTACACTTATATCAGCTGCCGTTTGACAAAACGTTTTCAACGAGCTTACAATTATTCTATGAAGAATCTGGAGGGACTTTACACAAAACTGTCAACAAACTAAATTTCAATAACGCTTGTCGGTGGCGCGTGATTTACAGTTTCTATTAAAGTAAATCTACCCAGAATCTGCGATGCTATCTCTCCCCCTCCCTGGCACATCAAAGTGCGATGATAAAACACTCATCACCTGCAGAGATTGGTGTGGTGTGTGACTCAAAGAAAAGTCCTTTACGCATGCGGCGGAGGATCTGATTCAGGCAAAGTATGCCGACCAATCACTAGGTGGTTTCCCACTGCAGCTTTTTGAGGGTGCCATAAATACTACATCTAGGAGCAGTCACTGAGTATGGCTCTAAGTCCTGAGGGAAATTGGGTTACCCCGTCTGTCGGAAGACTGCCTAGCCTTGATTGTTGGTGCACTTTGGTGGATTCAAGCGCTTGAGGACTATGAAAATGAAAATTGTCCAGACTTTTCCGATTGTCGTCCATTTTCTCTACTTTTTTTCTAAAAGCTAGTAATGCAGACGGCCTTCCGCAACAAGCCCTGGGTTTTGCAATACTTAAGGGATTCCCAAACTCAGCGCGCTCGGAACAGATCCTGTCCGCGTTTCGCTCCAGCGCGTGTATAGCATAATCATCTATGGGTTTAAAGGCAGTACAATAGAGACTGGATCATTGTCCACGAATCCTACTCACCTGACATTGAGGACGCATCTACAAAGTTTAGAAACGAATATTCGTCTGCTGGGATATTATATGTCCAGAAGAATTTTTACCGCCCCCATTCCTCGTAGATGTTCGTCCATGGTACAAAAATTATTGACTCACTAGCACAGTTGACGCATCACGTTCAGTGGTACTTGTAACTGGTTTGAATGACCCAACATGGTAATTACACACAGTTTTTTCGCAAACCGGTGTGCCATTAACACGTGCGTTGTTCGCCCCGCCACATGCTATGTCCAGGAAATGCCTGACCGCGGTAGGGGGAGGTCAGTACGCAAGCTGATAAACTGCGCTCTGAGAGTCACGACTCAAATCTCCTTGACGACTGCCATTTTTAGGGTCTGTCGGTCGCTCCGAATTGAAGGGATATCTCGGACGCTTTTGGGAATGCATGTCACTACCCACCCATGGTTGTCAAGCAGCTGTCATTACTCAACATGGTAAACCCGATGTTTCTCCAACGCATTTCAATTGTCTGCAAATCTGCTAGATCTGAACTCACCAATAGATGTTGACTGTGTTGTTCGGGTCTCAGTGCAGCATATATTTCCCACTTACATTTCGCATTTTAATCTCCATATATTCTGGGCTTTGCTGTCGCTTCTAGTAATGGCGCGATGAACTCTTCAATGACGGCCGACATCTGAGTATTATTTTGCATATTGTATGAACTATATCATGTGGAGCTGTTTCGGAACAAAATATCTCAGTTTAACGTCAAGTGCCCCCTTTGTACTGATACCCAACCTGTCACGCGCACTTCTTTACTGTCATATCATGCCGGTTTCTGCTGATCAATTTCGTAAAGACCTCGCGGAAGCTGTGAAGTATTCTTTGCTTTAATCCGTGCCTCCTAGATTTCATGCCTTATCTTATAGTCGCACAAAATCGCTTAAAAATAATTTTTCTAATTTTCGTACGTCAAATGTTGACACATGCAACTAAAGACAAAACTGGGAAGAGGTAGGCAGGCAAAGGCAGATGCACTGCCGACAGATGTCAGCGTATATTTGCCGTTACATGTCATGCGGGACTTTAACTGACACTTAACGATATCCTGAAATCTTTCAGTGGTTACCTTTCCCGTCAACGTTGAAAGATGCATCGCAACTTTGCCTCTAGCAAATATTTGTTGATACAAATTACCTTTACATGACTTTATATCGGCGATGGTTTTAAACTGCTGTATTTTACTACAATTTATTGCAAAAGTTTACTACATAGACTAGTTGTAGAGCTGTAGTCTGTTAAACAAATTTGCCACTTGTAAATATGTAGAATAATCAACCAAAGAAATTCTGCACTATGTTAATACTGCGCATTTCTGGAAAGCCTAGTTATTTTGTTGTGATATTTTTAAATACTAAAACCTGCTAAGCCGGTATGACAAAAAGCCATTGCAGGTACAATTTAACAGTTTTGACTCTTCATAGGCCTGATGAGGTAGGAAAACATCAGTAAAATATCCTTTGCATCGTCCGTTTTCCAAGAAACGTTTCCTACATGTTCAGACTCGACTTGCATAGACAGCCCAGGGATCTGGTATCATTTAAGTAGGAAAGCGCTAGAACGGACTCACTATAAAATTTAGCGTCTACTTTATTCAGTAGCATGTACGTAAAATAAGGTGGAAAACTTCATGAATCAAAGCGATGAGGTCTTCAAATACGTCGGCATCGAATACTCGACTGCGCATTCCACAAGCTACGGCTTGTGCTACGTTCTATATTCCGGAGGCTAGAATTTCTCTTCTCAATAAAAACATTAACTTTGTGAGCATACTTTATTAAAAAAAAAGAAAAATACAAAAGTTGTTTTAAAAAATAGATTGGATCTGCCCCTCCCCTGTTTCTAAAAAGCAAACGAAATAATTCTGATGTAAATCGTTGATTCAGAGGAAGCGAAATTTTAATGATATATCCTTAAATATCTACAATTGTAAGGGCCATAAATAATGTTGTTCTATGAGCAAGTAATTAGCGATAACCAGCATGAGTACCGCAATTAGAAAAAAGCAAATCAAAGGAACTTGCAAGGAAATCTCTTACCCCTGCTTGGATATTTAATCTAAATAAGTTTAAGTTCGCGAGTTAGCCCGAAACTTAAAACAAGTTCATTTCAAAAAACACATCTGGCGTTAATAAAGTATACCAGTCAAAATTATGCATTCATTATACATAGCCAACATGGGTGTCATTGTATTTCCAATGGTAATTGACCTGATAAAGGTTAAAATATCCCACAGAGGGGCCCACAAATTTCAACATTCTCTATACGCATGAAGCTTACTTTTACTTGTTGGGTAGCGTAGCAATATATCTAAAATAAAACAGTTGTCAGTTTAAATGCTCATTCTTAGAGAGAGATAAGTTATTAGTCTGACGTTTGGGAATTTACCTCTCGGCTGGGTTGTAAACATGGCGACGATCACTATAATTAGGAGCAAAGCAATGATACAACCCAGAACGATGCCGGCGATTGCGCCGCGACTAAGCGTATTTGAGTCTACAATGCAATTGCAAACAAACGTGTAAGATGCAGTGAATTCGTTGACTTTTATTGAACAATTTTTCATGCATGAAAGTGACATAATTGGCATTGCTTGCTTCGAATCTCTAGAAGACAAGGAAGAAGATAAGGGTGCTTTATCGACAGCTTGAAGACCAACGTAAAGTTAGTGTCTGTAGCAATAATATACAGGTGCCTGGAAACAACCGCTGAGAATGATCAATAATTAAATATTGAGGACACGTCTTGTGCTTGCTCGGAAGTCAAACAGAATTCAGAAAATAACGCATGCATTAAAGAATAGTCATGTGAAGCTAAAGACCTTTCTAATGTAAAAAGTAAAAAATTTAACGTGCAGACAGTGTAAAAAGACTAAGAATAAGTGCAAAAGTTTAATTGTTTGCATCCGCAAAACTGTAAACATATAAGATGCACAGCGAGGGTAGCTGGGCATTTAAAATGCACACAATCTCTATTTTTGATTAAAAGTAATAAAATTGTCCAGGGATACACCCGATGTGCATACCCTCGCTTCCATAAATGTACACTTATAAAACTCAAAGGGAGATTTACAAAAAGGCCAGTGGTAATCTGAATGGTCATTTATACATTACTAATCGTCTTCGGCCGGCCATACCCAAACCCAGTGCGTGCAACCTCCTCAATTAGGACCCCTGATCTGTTGGTTAAAGTCCATGGTCTCTAACCACTGAGCCGCGGACTCATTTTCCTATCAGTTTCGATGAGGAATTTTAATACTGGTAGCTAGAGGCTCGCTGGTTGTCTTCGAAATTCACTCGCCCTGTTGTGTTTTTGAGAATTAATCTAGAGCTCCGCCGGCTATTCGCTAGCGAACGTTAAAAACACAACGGGTGGATGAGTTCCGTTACCCATCCGCCAGCGCCCATCTATCAAATGTAAGTTCTCTGATTTAAACCAGTAGAACAACAAATCAGCACGTTGGAATTTCCGCCAGTCCATGCTTGAGGGGTTGCAAACCTCAGTCGTAGATGTAGCTGGTAAACGACAGCTAGTGAGCCAGGAATGCCTATTCCAGTCTACCATGTCGATGTCGGAAATCTATTACTGGATGTAAGGCAAGTCGCTAGGCGAGGACCGAAGGTGATCTCGGATTAGCCCGAAATCAAAACGAGGCGAATGATGCCCTAACTAATCGGTGAGAGTCCAACTGCCCAAAAAAAGTTCTGAAAATGTCAACTTACCGCCTGACGGCGTTGTTGAGGGCGTAGATGTTACGGTTGTCGTTCCGGTTGATATTCCTTAAAGAAGCAGGGTATATCTAAGGGAATTTTATAGTTAGACGGTACTTTGCTTTTCTGGTCAATGTTAACACAAACCACAGTGTTGTCGGCCTCAATCCGGAATACAAATATTGGCAGATAGAGGTTCACCGATCATTTAGGGGATTCACACGCCCCGTTGTGCTTCCGCGACCTGACATGGAGCCCTGCAAGCAGTCCCATTGACAGCATCGAAAGCACAACGGGACGAGTGAGTTATGTAACTGATTGCAGGACCTCCACATCCCAATTTTAATAATACTGATTGACGCCAGCAAAAAAAACGAGTCCGGGCGTTGCAGTTCTAACCAAAAGGTTGCCGTTTTAAGTTTCGGGGGTAGCAAAGAAAGGGGTGGGTGTGGATGGCTAATGGCAGCCAATAAACCAGAAGCGGCCATTTTTTGTTGATGCTGGAAATCTATTCCTGGATATTACAGTACGTGACCTATCTCATGAAATCTGAAAACGGAAACTAATCAGAGAATCTTTAGACGCCTTTAACGTGGCCTATTTGTTCGCTCACTCACGTCCTTCAATGTAATGTCCTTTTCCTGTTCAGAAATTGTGTTTACGTAATCATATCAAGAAAAATGTCAGTAAATTTTTAGCGAAAATGGACTATGGAATATATTCGTGCATTTGCGTATGCTAACACACGTCGTAGACTCCGGTTACGCAGCTAACAGACTTTTTCATCCCAAGGATAGCAATTTACCCGCGAGAGTTTTAATAAACAGATTTAGCCGGACTAGGAATTTTATTTCATGTCCGATGTTGGCCATGGTTATCAATCTCCTAACGAAAAGATTATTTTAAGAAAACAACAAATTTTATCAATTTCTAAATGTGAAATTAGCAGATCTGTGCGAATTGGTGCCCTAAAGTGCAAAAATAACGCAGATAGAGATTCCCTCGTTTAAGTGGACTGAAATGTTTTTGCCGTTTGGAAAATTCTGCCTGATGTCACATAGATGACCACAACGGAATGGTCAATTCCAGCCTTAAACATATGAAGCATTACTTGTCGTGTTATTTAGCTCCCGTGCATATCTCATTGAGATATAGAACGAGCAAAACATAATTACTTTCAGCAAAATATCAGTATTTATATGAAGGCTCTGGCGTGCATTCATAATCGAAGAACGGAGTCTAAAAGCGAGCAAAAACAGTGGAAATGCCCTCGGTATATAGAGAAAGGCACGCTTTTACGTTCACTGTAGAAAAATATTACTACTTCTTAGGAACATGAAAGAAACGGTCAGAAGTTTCAAATTTTTACTTGGCCTCGCCGTGCAAAAATGCAAAGTACACAGAGATCCGTCGACGGAGTGCAGTAATAAAGCCCTTCCTAAAGAGGTGACTTATAAAGGAATGTTTCCTTATTGATCCAAAGGCATATTCGTTGCTGACTTTCGTTGTCGACAGTAATTTTTCTCGAAAATGAAGTTTGATGTTTGAGTGAGTCTTCAACTTTGACCCAAACGACCATCTTCGTGAAAAGAAGCGCCTGAACACTATCTAATTCGGTAAATGCCTTCAAGAACAATCTTATTTTAAAGTCCTCAACAAACAGGTAATTCCGAATCTGTCTTTATGGGCGATCGGCTGAAAACACTGAAAATCATGAAGTATTCAGCAATATTTAGAGGCCAATCTGAAACTCTGAGTAATCCAAAACGAAAGAAAAGTATAAATTAATTAAACCGGAGAAAGTTATTCCCTAGAAACACTAAATGGTATGTTTACGATCACACTTGCCAGTTCTGTTTAAATTTATTAGGCACCGACCGGCCTCATGGTATGTGACCTTGTGAAAGCTTTTGATCCTACCAGGTCCCCATCGGCAAAATTAAGCAAAATCTAGCTTCTCTTGTTGAAATCCGTCTTATTTAATCCCAAATCGTTAATGAACTTATGACACACTGGAAAATTGTTTTGGAATCTACGCCCAGAATGTAGGCAGTTGACAAACCGTCATATATGAAGTCACACTACTTATTTAACGATACTTAGATGTAAACTTCACTGAAACGCAGTTATTAGACGTGATTTTTTGTCTACTTTCATATTTGCTACGCTTTTGGTACGAGAATACATTCTATACATCTAAAAACGCACTTTACTTAATAAGAGTCATTTTCGACGTTTTCGAGATATTGAGCTTTTCAAAATAAATCGACATTTCTAAACAAAGGAACACTGCCTAAAATATTTCTTTAATGTTTTTAATTCTTTTAAACTTGTACTTAATAAACATAGACTTTTGACTCATGAAATGATGTCAGTTTGCGAGTGATTGGCAATCATTCGTAAATTTCGACACATTTCATGAGTTAGGTCACGCACTGTATGTTAATCCTTCACGACGACAGCGAGTCTCTATATCGAGCCCTGAAAGCCCAGCGGGACGAGAGAGTTCCCCCAACGGATCGGTTAACGTCCATCTACTTGGAAAAATTTCTGAAAATGTGAACTTACCGCCTGACGGCGTTGGGGAGGGCGAAGCTGTAACGGTTGTCGTCACTGTGGTTGTTTCTACAAGAAGCAGGAAATAGCTAAGCGAATTTTATAGTTATAGACGGTACTTTCCTTTTCTAGTCAATGTTAACACAAACCACAGTGTTGTCGGTCTCAATCTGGAATACGAACATTGGCGGATAGAGGTCCACCGATGATTTAGGGAATTCAAACGTCCCGTTGTCCTTCCGCGACCTGACATTGAGCCCTGCAGGCCGTCTCATGAACAGCATCGAAAGCACAACGTGAAGACTGAGTCACGTAACTGATTGCAGGACCTCCACATCCCAATGGCTGGCTGACGACGGCTAATAAGCCAGAAATGGCCATTCCAGTCTTCTTTGTCTTTGTCGGTAATGCCATTCTGCCTATGTATCATGCGCCGCTCTGCGGCTGCTGGTTAGGATCGAGAGAGAGCCCTTAAGGCACAACGGAACGAGTGAGTTCCGTATGAACGATCGGTGAGCGCCCACTACAATTGTATATTCCCGATCGAAACCGACAAGGCAACGGGCTCGTCGCCCAATGGTTAGAGGCATTGACTTCTAAATAACAGGTCGCGAGATCGAGCCTCGGGCGTTCCACACTTTGGGGTTGGATATGGCTGGCTGACGACGGCTAATAAGCCAGAAATGGCCTTTCCACTCCCCCCTTCCATCCTGCCAATGTTAATAATGCTGATTGACGACAGCAAAAAAACGAGTCCGGGCGTTGCAATTCTAACCAAAAGGTCGCCGTTTCAAGTTATGAGGGTAGCAAAGCTAAGGGTTGGGTGTGGATGGCTAATGGCAGCCAATAAGCCAGAAGCGCCCATTGCTTGTCGATGCTGGAAATCTATTCGTGGTTATTATGTTAGTCCTGCGCGACTGCGGCGGGTCTTTATATCGAGCTCTGAAAACCCAACGAGGCGAGAGAGTTCCCCCAACTGATCGGTAAACGTCCATCTACTTGGAAGACTTTCTGAAAATGTCAACTTACCGCCTGACGGCGTTGGGGAGGGCGAAGCTGTAGCATTTGTCGTCACAGTGGTTGTTTCTAAAGGAAACAGGAAATATCAAAACGCATGTTATAGTTATAGACAGTTTTTTGCTTTTCTGGTCATTGTTAACACGAATCAAAATAATTGTAGTTAGAAAATTAAGCAGAATTCGTAGGAGGATTTTTGGGCTTGAGCACGTGTGTGTACACGGCGGTCCAGTATTCAAGTGGTCGAAAACCATTCAAACATATACTGCCACTTAGTGTGTAAAACATTTTTTCCGAATCCTCTCTCAAAATATAACGTTCGCCCTTATATCCATCTTGCTTTCAAGTTATTTTGAGGGTTATCTATGGAGTGTTAAGGACACAGCACAATATGCATTCTGGTTAACTTTTGGTATTGTACTGTAAAATATCCCGAAGACATTTTCATTCTGTCCTACAGGGAAGGTTTTGTTCGTTTATTGCTGTATAACAAATTCGATCAAGTAATTTTTCGTTGGTCCAATATTGTTGTCATATTCATTTGGTAAATGCAGCCGATAAACAGCATAGCGATCTGTCCTGAAATCACTTACTAGTTAGATCTTTCAACGCAATCGACATATATACTTGGAAATTCGACTTTTGAAGTTCCAAATCTATCCAACACTGCCAAAAAATGCCCTGATGTATTGTTAAACAACGAAAACTCAGCACTGGTTACCCTGGGGTAATGATGTGTGCTGACTAGTATTATTACAGCGATAATTGACACTGACCTCTGACCACTCTTAGACGCACATCGTGCAGGAAGTGGCTGTTCAACGGAGTCTGAATCTAACTTAAATATCTGCGGACAGGATGTTTAAGAATCGGCAAAACTAGACCGGGAGCTCTCATCTTTGGACCCCTAAGCAATAACGTAATTGATTTCGAAGAGAAAAAAAAACTGTCAAAAGCGACAATAAATGGTTTGTCGTTTCAATTTATTAGTATAACTAGTTAAACATATAAAAACGGGCATTTCTTACTTGCTACCACTCAGATAATGTAAACTTCCGAATAAAAACATGAGGAAGAAAGCACGACCATACACGAGAGATCAGCATCTAAGTAGGCAAAAGCGAGCCATGCGTAAAAATGTCACTTAGTTTAGTAAAATCCAGTCCAGTACTAGCGCTTAAATTATGACATGTCCACTCGTATGCAGGTTGCTTTCTACAACTTGGAGGCGTAATTTCTGCATATTTAGGGCGAAAACACTATATGAATTTTAGTTAACTTGTGGTAGTTCGAACCTAAACGATATATGTAAATGCATTCTCACGTACATCCTAAAACTTCACAAATCAGTGGACGGTAGTGTAAAAAACAGTGAGTTCTCCTGTAGGACGTACCGGCATACGCAAACAATTATTAATTTTTATCATTGCAGATCTCGCATAGCCCAAATATTTTACTAGTAATGCAAGACACTGTATATTCAGACATCCAGACGACATTACCGAGCTCAAGCGAAAAGAAGCTACCATGGGCTGACATAGACGCAAATGCAAATTCCTAATAATGCCTTGAGCCACGTAGACCACCAAAGACGTAGTGTCATCTAAATTGGCCATTTTAACGATTTGCCATCTTGAGGTCTTGGCCAAAATACGAATGTCCTTTGTAAGTCAATTAACAAGCGTGCTTCCTTGCGACGTGTTCTGTGTGACAGTAGGGCGACCTTAGAGGACATTTTAGAGCTACCGAATTGAACTAAAATTCTCATTTCGTGTCCCTAATTTGTCCACAGCAGTCCTGAATCCATGACGTCTAGGGTTGAAAGATGACACTCCTGCCGTAGACGGCTTCATAAAAGCGTCTTCAGTGCAGCTGGGCAGAGAGGAAGGCCATTACAAATGTCGCACTACTTGTTTCCAACTAAAATATTATGAATATGCGAGGCTATCCTGACGCTTGGCGATACTTTTCTTTGACATTTAACTCTGTAAGTTCGATCAACTGAATTAACTCGTTTACCTAGGCATGCGATTTTTTCTCGTTGTTGCATGTTAATTGAGCAAAATGCGACCTCAAGATCACTGAAACGCGACTGAGTTAAAGCAAGCTCCCCATTGCGTGACTCCAAAGTGAGGTTTTCATATGTCAGCCGAAACGGGGTCCGCGTTGTCAAAAAACAAGGCTTTTGCAGTCGAAAAATTGCGATGCAATAGATACCTTAACCAAACTGTCACAAACGCGAAATAATGGACAATACCAAGCGCACCCATGCATTTACAAAAAGTCCGTCATTTACCTAACTAGAATATTGTACATGTGAATGGGAGGGCGACAGATGCATAAAAGTTGCGGTGGTATATATTGACGTGAGTATCCCATACGTCAGACGAATTAACATCGCCAATCGCATCTTACTCGCATGTAAATTTGCTGTCTGACGCCGTTGGAGTAGGCATGCATGTTATGGCTGTGAACTAGGCGGATAATTATGGAAGAACCCAAAAATTATTTATCGTGACCTCCGTTGAAACAGAAAGTAGATTATCTCATATAACCGACTGAGCGCCATTGAAAATAGTCAGCTATGGTTTTATAGAGCAAGGCAGGCAAGGACTGATGGGCGGAGGCGGGATGCCACAGCCTTGGGTCTACCATTTAGAATGGCCAAAATCAACCGGTCCACCATGCGTTACTGCTGTTTACTATACATTGTATGTGTAACTGAGTTAATTCCACTAAAAGCGGCTGTTTTGCATTTTGTATTTCTTTGCATAATATCTCAATAATATGTTTATGGACAATACAATTTACAAAATAATTACATGTTCGATGGCATTATCAAGAGCGACGTTATCAGTCCACTTGATTTGCCTTTTGTGTTTGCCCCTTCATTTGTCGTGGCGTTGTTTTCCTTTTTCTTGTTTCCAAATGATAAGTTAGCTTACTAAATTTAAACTGATCTTTTATTATCAGCATAATACGGCACAGGATATTTGCTTCTTAATACAGCTTGACCCATGTCGACTGCGCCACGCTGGCTGGCGTCTAGATCAGAGACTGGTATTTCTACTTTTTGGTACAGTAAAATAGTCACAGTGCAAATGCCCTGCACCCCAGGTCCCTAGGTTAAAAAAGTGCGCTACATTTTACCATTCGACTTATAGGTGCCGTCTGGCAGTGTAATTTAGTCTATTCTGCATTCAGTTCTGCTCTCTTTATTCTTGGGGAAATAAAGAATGAGATTTCTCGCCATTGTCATACACGACTTTACGACTTCCGTTTCTGTAACTAGGCTACACTACTGCCCAGTGCGTATTCTCTCCCTATTATTTAATACTAAATGATACACGGTTGTGCCTTAAGAAATAATTTAGGTGAATTTCTACACTATAACACATCATAGCATAAGCTTAATAGGTACTGCTTTAAAGAATTAACGATTCTATAACCTATAATTAGTAAGAACGTAAAATCAAACGGTTTAAGTGCAAAAAAGAAATGCTATGACTGCTCCCATACTATCTTATAGGTAATATGTATATGTCTTTAAAAAGTCCACAATGATAACTTTCACTTTTCTATTTTTTTCGGAAGGAGGCCTCTAAGTTGCCGAAAACTTGCAAAGCATTTGTATCAAAATTCATCGAGGTATTTTTGGATTTCAATCCGCCTTATCGTTTCCATTTATTATTATATACAGCCCCAATTAATTAATATATAAACTGTTATACTATTTCCCTGTAGTCGTCTTTATCACAAATAAACAAAAGTGTTTATTTTAGACACAAGTTTACGAGCTTAAGTCTGAGGACTACGTGGACGCTATGAACTTATTATTAAGCATAACAAGTGGTTACGTGTTTTGAAATAAATCCAAAACATTTTCATTCATCCCTTGTATCTCGCACTAACGGCCCTCTAATATTTGCATTCAGTGTTTGGAGGGGGATGTGTTATACGAAATATGAAAGCGCTACGTTGAGTTGAAACTGAACACAATGTGTTATTCAATAACTGGCAGAGTTTGTTTATAATTCACTCACCATCCGTCTGCGGTCTCACGTTAACTGTTGGCGAGTTCACACTGCATTGCGCATTAACACAGGCCCTAGCGACGATGTTGTATTCTCTTTCAAACACGAGCCCCTCAATGGCGCAGCTAACGGGTTGGCTAGTAGCCCTGACGGAGCACTTTCTTTCCGATCCAGCCGAGTCTGTCGCCACAGCAATGTAAGTAACATTAAATTTTTCTCCATTTTCCATGTGTTCAAACGTAACCCTGATCCTGCCGCCACCAATATCGCTGACACTTATTGTTGGAGCTTGTTAAAAATCAGAAAAAAAACTCAGTTTGGACAGCAAATGCAGGCTAAAAGTAAATCCTCCTAAATAGAGACACTTGGTACGTATTTGGCAGGCTATAATAAAGAAACATGTATAACATTATCCTTTTTAAATTGGGTTTATTTTGGAATGCTTATTGCTGCCCGTCAAAACGGATACTTTGGTTGTGTTCTGTAACAATCGCGTAATCAATGATTTCCTGCTTGTCTTTATGGGGGCTAAATTAATTTCGACCGCCACCCACTTCTGCAGCTTCAATGGCTTGTTGAAAGCAGTTCTCCAGCAAAAAGGTAGATGCCTAGTCTGACATCTTCCTTAAGGACAATGCATTGTCTACAGTTACATGCTTTGTGTACGAGGGCCCTCCATAAATCACAGTAGTTAACCTATGTTACATATCGGTTTGGCAACGATTTCATTAAGGTTGTTTCTCTGTAAGCGTAATAGGTATACTTGCATGCTAAGAGGAAGTATTTCCATACCAGTTCGATAGTATGAAGGATATTCCTCTACAACTATTTTATTAACCAGACGTACTGGAACAATGTTCACGTCATAACATGCACTAGATAAAAAATTTTAAGAACAAATGTCCTTCAAATTTAAATTTCTTTACCGACGGAAGTCCTATTTGAGACTGTATTTAGTAATGATGACGAGCAGTAATCAGTAACATCTGGCCGGTATACTTTAATGTCTTCCTTTCACACTACTTGTTAACAAACTTACTTCCTTAGATGGATAAGTAGTTTTGCTTCCCTGACTATGAAATAGACAATAACTTACCGTTTGGAAAAGTTATGGCGTTTATTGTCTGGTTGCAGATATCCTTCAAATTGTTATTCATATTTTCAAAGGATAAAATGGTGTAATATTCCGTCAGAGGACTTAGACCGCCCACAACACTCCTCTGTGCGGAAGAGTCCACTGGAGATCGAATTGTGGCCCCACTTGTCCACACCCAGAGACTTATAGAGAGTTCCATCATGTTTTGTACAGGAGTTTCCCAGGCAAACGCGATGCTTTGATTGTCAACTGCCGTTGCGTTAAATGAACTTGGTGCTAAAATATCGGATAACGAACAACATCAAGAGTCCCTAAAGAATGCCAAACTGCATTCAACTTAAAACGTATAACGCATTCAGTGAATAATTATATTGCATTACACAAACGTAAATACTCATTTGTAATTATCCCCATTTGTAGACTGCTTTTGTTTTCGTTCTGCAGCACATAGTTTTACTGGGACTTTTCCCAATGCTTACTGAGCAGTTTGAACCATATTGGCTATAATGTACAGGTCCAGTCATTTTACCGCCAGACCTTCAATTTTACTAAGCGAAAAGTGGATTTTTTACCCGAGGTCTGATGCTTAAAGAACTTTGTCAGCAATAAGATACAAAGTCCACTGTGTTCTTTGATGTTTGGCGCAACGCTTGTATACCGACCGTTTAGTGTTTACGCTAAAGCATCATTACCTATCCAGATTTTGACGGCTACCACAATCGTTTTCCTCAATATTTTACATGCAACAAAATGAGCCACATACAGCATGAAAGATATTTCATTCAAACGTTTGAATTTGGCAAAATATTATTATTTGGGGATCATTTGACTCAAATAGGTCTGCCTTTACCCCACCCAGAGGAGTTCTCCGCGTTCAAAATAGTAGGAACCCTCTTTTAACAAGATATGATAAGTCGCAGATCCTAAACATTCGTTTAAAAACGACCTTTTTTTATCAAAAGGACTCGCTAGTAGTGCTTACACGCCAAGTATGCGGCTAACATTATGGTCTGTAAAACATTTAAAATTGATGCTTCTTCGGCTGTACTATTAAATCTTAACTAAATATGTTGGATTTCGGCCAGATGCCGGAAAGTGGACTAAGTCTTGTATCATTGCTCATTAGGCATTTAAGTTTATTTTTTGGACGTGCAAATACGCAAAATACCTACCTGCTTTTGTTATATTTTTAGTGCTCAAGAACGCGTGCACGGAGGCTTATGTAAGTTCATGGCGCATGTATCACGAATTAAACATTACGTTTTCCTTCCAGCAACTCCAGATTATATTTTTTAAAGAATGACCTGTGGTTACGTTGAAGGAAAACCTACCGTCGAAATATCGCTGAAACGAATATCAGTCGATATGTGAAAAAGCTAATTGTTGATACAGAAGAACTTGAGGTTGGCACGAACTGCAAGCATCATATGTCTGACCACGAAGCAATCCGTCGGTCGTGACAGAAAAGCTTCTATTCTACCTCGTGGACAAGAGAATGTTTTTGTATCTTTGCCTAACAAGTACTCGTCAAGTAATTTTTCTGAGTCTAATGTTTGTGTCTCACTCCTTGAAAGCATTCGGCCCATCGACAAAAAAAATTGTTTCCAAATGCTGCATAACAATCAACTCGGAAGTATAAACGAATGCGATCTTATAGTGCAGTCATGACACTTCACTCACACACTACAATTATCCAACTCACCATCCCAATTCAAAATTCCTCAAAAATTTCACAAGATAGCTAACAACAGGAAAAAACACGCCAATAATAACGATAAGAAATAGATGGGAGATTAAGTGGGCAAACTAGTATTATTACCACGAGCACGGGCAGAGAGTTTCGGCCATTCTCGGAAAATAAGTTTACGCAAAAGATGACTGTTTAATTGTATCGGCGCCTGAATTCATTAATAGCAAAATGTTTGCTCAAAGTTTTGCAAACATGACTGCTAATCACAGTTCGGAGACATTTGGAGAATTGTATACAAGATAAACACGAGAAATAGTCCGCTAAAGGGGAAGGATAACTGTCTGCTGGTTTTCGGTTATAGGAGTTTTCAGCTAGGATTATAAAATGGAGGCATGTATGTACAATTTAATTGCTTCTGTACGGATAATAAAAAAATGCAAATAAGTTATCCCTTAAAAATTGAATACTACATTTAGTCTACTAGTTAAGATGCAGGGGGTGAGAACATACGAGCGGTTTACAGATCATACGGTTGGTGCACAATACAAGACATTGCTTGCGCATTTGACTACATTACTTACCTAAACAGTAGTTCATATTTTTTAAAACTTAAAGATGCAACTAAGGAACGCATTATATGTCAAAAGTTCACACTATCGCTTAGCAAAAGTTTGCATTAACTGCTGCGCACGATAAAAGTGGACAAACGTTAACTATGCCGGAGAAGCCAGTAACCTTAGTCAGATGGGAGTCCATGAGCGTCAACCAGGCGCTGGATCAAAGGCAGTTCTTCCGGACAAATATTTACTCATCCCTTCTGTCAGTTTGTCGCGCTTATCAAGAAACGGTTATTTACAGATTGCTTTGATAACCATATGTCGCAAACGATGACATAAAAAGGGCTTCCCATGAAGTAAAGTAAACAATTTAACAGCGTTGCCAGTACGTCACGACAGCGAAAGTAATTATGGATCATGCGGAGTCTGTGTTTTGAAATAATAAATAATATATGATTCTAGAACTTAGAATAAACCACATTTAAATAGTCCAAAAAACTACTTTATGATTTACAACAGTATAAAAAATTATTTGATATTTTTAGAAAACGTCGGACATAAATCATTAGTAGGAAGAAACTATATATATTAAGGAACCCATATATTTGGTAGGTTTTTTTAATTCTCAGAAGAAAGAGATTACTTGTTCAATAATTATAATATTCAGCAGTATCTTCTGCTGCTTATCGCCAGCAAATGTGAGGAGTGCCCACGACAGTTATGTAAGTGGTTATGTATACTTACCTTCAGGTGAAAGGAAGACGAATTTGGGTTTCAGCAACTGTGTACAGCTTTTGGAACTCGTTGCATTCAAACTGCAAGCGGCCAGTTGAACGAGATATTTCGAGTTTGGTATGTTGTCGTTTATAGAACAATAGCATTTCGTTTTATTCGAAGGGGCTCTACATGTCGACACTAGCCTATCATTCAAAATAATGCGAAATTCCCAGGTTGAATTATATTCATATGATGAATTCCATCGTACTTCGATCACTCTTGGCGATGTAGACTGAACCTGGAAACCCGCTAAAATGGATAAAGTGAACACGGATCTGCAATCTCCGCTAGACGTTGAAATTCATTGAGGTGAATGATTACTTCAGTGATGATGTATTACTTCTGAAGGGCCAGGATTATAAAAGTACACCTGATATTACAAATGAGGCTCGACACAATTATAGCTTCATTTTACTATCGTACATGATCTCTGAACATGCCTTAATTATTTCGAAAACTTGTTGAAAAATGCCAAAAGTGTTTTAAATCATTTTGCACGTATATCTGCAGACGTAATTTTCTATTACATACATGTTTCTGCCGCACAAGATGGTACGAGTAAAATCAACAGTAGCACTATGTTAGTGCCAGTGCACATCGAACTTGACATTTTCATAAATCAGCAAACAGCCTTCGTGTTGTGAACTTCTGTTGCTGTATGCTTTTTGAAAGCGACTCTAAACGGTTTTAATACGCTGATCAAGGACGACCAATTTTATTGGTCTACGCACACTTTTCTGAAACTAAATTCATTGTGTAAAAATAAATTGGAAACATTATTACCGAAATAGTCTTCAATTGAAACCAGTTGAAGAAAAGTTCTGGCCAATTTAGTTGGAAAAGTAGGAGGTATGAAAATAGGAGTTTGTGAATTTTTAACATAATATGAGTGGCAGTTTATGTTAGGTGGAGGAAGTAAGGGTTTTGAGAAACAGTTTACTTGCATTTTGCAGGCAGGTGTGCAATTGGGCTTCACAACAGACGCGTTTACATTAAGTTGAGACTTCGAGATAGGATCAAGTAAAGATCTCCCTGAACTATCATCTGGCTTACTTGACGTAAGCGCAAGGTCAGAACTGAGTGACCAGGCGCGGGAACGCGAGGGATTCGATCTAGGTTGAGTAACTTGTTTATTATTCTGAGTGCTAGGGGTCGGTTGTGATTCTAGGATTGGCTCATCTTTTCTGTTATGATCAATCTCTCTTGTAAATTTGGGAGCCATATTTGAGCAATCATTCGTTCTTTGGGGCGTTTTAACGAGTCTGGTTTCACCTGACTCAGTAATAATGTGCTCAGTTAAGGAGCTAGGTGGGACTGGGGCCGCCTCAGATAAGAGGGAGGTTTGGTTGACGCCCGATGAAGAACCTGCTTGTGGGCAAACGGCAGATGAGTGGAATTCTGGAATGGCTTTGCGTATGTTAATGTGAGAGAAACTCTTCGCTGCAGTGGAGTTTGATCTTGACTAATAATAAGTTTATTTACCCTGAGATATTGAGCTGAGCGGTCCAAATGGGAGAAAATAAAGTCCACATCTATCATCGAAAATAGTTTGACGAGAATTGGCGGAAAATTGCTCCTACATGAAAGTCTTTTAACATCAGCGACTCTAAAGTTAAGGCCGCATGAGTAAAGAAGGTGGAAAGCGGACTCAATTGGCTGTCTACTCTAAAGAACGTTTTTTAAAATAAAGTTAGAACTTCGTTTGTGCCTGTCTTCTGTCTCTCTAGCAACCAGGCCAATGAGAGGCATGAGGTTCTCACACTGCTGAGAAGTAAGGGTTGGCAACTTTCCTTGGCCACTTACCTGGTGGTCTCCTGCGAGGCTGTAGGTGAATACGCATCTTCGAGATGATGAGGCGATGGTCGGCCCACCCGTCTGGCCTGCGATCGCCTTTGCTACCAGCACGTCCCTGTGATCTCGCATCCGGTCCAGGACATAGTCCAGCAGATGCCACCGACGCGACCGAGCATGCCTCCGGCAGACAGAAAAGGGTGTTCGTCTGGATGAGGCGGTGTTCTGCTCACGTGCGGAGGAAGAGCAGGCCGTTGTCGCTGAAGCCGTGAGGACAATGAGGACCTGACATTCCTCTCCAGGCAGCATGGTCTGTACCGAATCGGGCGTTAAAGTTTCCAAGGACAATCAACTTGTCCGCCTTCGTCACAGACGCCAAGAGGGCCGTAGAGGTCCTCGATGAATTTGTCTCTTTAGGCGTCGGGACTGGTCATCGGCGAAGCGTAGGCATTGATAATAGTGGCGAAGTTGCCTCCCCGAAGAGGCAGACGGAGGCTCATCAGGCGACTGTTGATGCTCTGCAACATACAGGACGGTCGTCCCACGATGTCGTTCCGGATGGCGAAGGCGACACTCGCGTCTAGTCGCTCGGCCCTGGGTCGACCATTCCAATAGTAGGTGTAGCCGGCACCCATCTCCTCCACTTCGTCTTGTTCGGAGAATCGGGTCTCGTTGAGTGCGGCGATTTCTACCTTGTAGCGAGCCAGTTGTCAAGCCACTAGCGCCGTCCTCCGTTCCGGTCGGTTGCTCTGCGGATTGTTTAAAATGGAACGCACATTCCCGGCTGCCAGGGTGAGCGGACTCACCATATTAGTCTGGCAGCGAGTGGGGCGGCGGGAAGGAGGTGAAGAAGAGGGCGATGTAGGAGTAGAATAGGCGGAGGTAAAGGAAGAAGAGGCAAGATGAGTGAGGGAGAGAGTATAGTTGTTGTTGTTGTTGTTGTTGTTTTTGTTGTTTCCATTTTGGTTGTTTCGACCGTGAGTTTTACGTGTGCGACCACGGTCAGCCTGCAGACGACTGGGTTCCCCAGCAATCTTTAGGCCGGCTTTTCCAGGCTCGCCCCGAATGAAGCAGTGCTCGTCCCTGAATAGGGCTGCTTGATGTGCCGGCGCGGCCGAACTTCACTGTGGGCCACGAATTTTGTTGGTAACGGAAGAACGACATTGTCGTAAGCCCGCAGTCTCCTACGGTGCACCAGATAGGCGCATGTCGGCGATGCCGTTTCGAAGATCCATCCCACCAGCTGACCAACGGCGTACCAGGCGGAACCTCGTCTAGACGATGTCGATGCGACATTGAACCAACCGGCTGACCAGCGGCTTACCAGACGGACCATCTGCACGACGGTGCCGACACGGGGTTCCATCCGACCAACCGTCCAGCGAAGTCCGCAGTATCCTGTGCACGTGATACAACGCGAACTGGGAGTAACAGCCCTCACCTGGTTTATCTCGCCGATCGAGAAGCCACAGGTGAGAGTTGGGTGTCAGCTAATAGACTCCAGGGGTAGATTCACCTGTAACCAAGTGAGCGATCACTACGACCATCATGTGAACCCACCGTTGTCACTCCTACACCCCATAAACGGACATACACGCACGAGTATTGCATACCTATTGCATGTAATCAATTAGCTACCCAAATTTCCAAATTTCCTAATGTATTGTTTTTGTGACGATATTGTAACCAATAGGGAGTACAAAGGCGGTCGCCTACCTATCTCTTAATAGAAATGAACTGAACTGGACAGATGAAGGTTAACTTCGAACGTTGCTGTGTTTCAAGAAGGATGTCAGATGTATAAAAGCATTTCAGAATGACTGCACAAAATCTTTGTTTTGCATGTCATCTGGATGCAGTACACATCCCGAAAAATAATGTAATCTTAAAATCGGGGTTCATGTTGAAAACTAAAGCGTGAAACTACTTTAAAGTTACAAGGACCGTTAAAATGACATGCTGTGTTTAAGAGGTTTTGTTAAACTGATTATATGTTCCCCACAGAACACTTCTTTTTTGGCCAGTTAGCTCTAGAATAGGTTTAGAATAGAGTAGGTGTATTATAGCGCCCCTTGGACACTGTCAGTCTCCCTCGTTCCCACGAAGCTGCGGCCTGGAGTTTCAAGAAGAGACGTAAAGTCAGCTGTAATGAACATCGCCCATAAACAGGTCTGAGTGCACTCAATTAAGCAGTTTTATTGGATTGACACTCAAGTACTGACTGAACAATAACCAGCTCTGTGCATAGGCAAATGACAAACAATTGCAGTGCCGTTTGCCTTATGATTGCTGAAGCCTCATTTCCATGACTTCAGGCAATGAAGGACGACGGAACGTTAAACCGACGCATGATTTCTCCTTAAAAGTACTTTTTGCCTCTGGAAATATTCTCGCAAATTATTCTAAAATTATGTTAAGATCCACGCCAATAAAATTTAGGAAAACATAAGCTCCAACCATCAGGAATACTTTCTTGTCAGGGGGCAAATAATTCGTGTCACTGAACAAGACCACTTCGTCACGACTGTGTCACGCTCTGCCTCTCACAATATGTCCTGGCAAAAAAGAACGGCAGCGCAGAATAAGAAAATTGTTCATCTGTTGACGAGGATGCGGTTTGTACCTGGAGCCGGCTCAGTTGTATACAAGACTGACTGCTGCATTTAATTAAGTAGGTAATGCTTTGTATTAAAAAGTCCCAGAGCCTGGAACATGGCAAGTTTTCGGGTACTTTCGGTCTAAAAATAAAATAGTTTTGAAGCTAAAAGGTGATTTTTTATGTGCTTTTCTTCAAACTCTCAGATAACCCCATTCAATTTAATTTGCGAAAAGTACGGTTGGATCATCATTCCTTTCGTCTGTATCCTAAATCGTTTACATTTGCAAGATCAGCTAGACTTACTCAAAACATTCGATGTCTAGCCACATCCCCTGCTACGCTATATCCATCGTAATGTAACAGCATATATTAACCGGATCTTTTTATACGGTTGGAATCGACGGATAGTCTGCCTAAGCTCCATTCTTAAATTATCAGCCTTTCGTTATAATTGTTTTCTTAAAGGTAATTTAAAGACAATTTCTGCTCTAAGAAACGGCCATCGGCCGTGGGATAGAAAGTATCCATCGAAAATAAAACTTGTTACGATCTACATTTTCAGATTCGTCTGTAGAGTTTGCGTCAGGAAAATCACTGATGTAAAGACAGACATAATTATGTCAGCCAAATAAGCGTTGCGGATTTGAGTCGACTTTGGACGCGAAATGTGTGGCAATATAGGCTAACGGAGTCACCGCTTATAGTGTATATACTCACTCGGCATTGCCGGTGTTTAATATGTTTCTGTGAGGTGCGAATTTAGGATTCCTTACAGAGTCTTCTATGTATGGTGGAATATTTTTCATTATTTACTGAATTTCGATGCTCAAGGTTACCATGCTTTTACCTTTAATCTCATTTGTGCCCAGCTAGTTTGGTACACGTTCTTTCTGAGCAAAAAAATGAACCTAGGTTAATGTACATCTGTTTTATTTAACTGTAAGTTCTACGTGTAAGTCGTCCGAGCCCTTATATTCCGAGTGCCATGGAACTTTGCAAACACCTTTACTCATGATTAAAATGTATATTTTTCGGATGTTTTTTTCGGACCAAGGTTTAACTGTCGATTAGAACCATTGCACTGCCTGTTTAATATCAGCGACATAATCATGCGCTTATAATTAACAAAATCATATTGTTGCAGTAGTAGTATCTCTTTTAAACATTTGAAGGAACTCCAAATGCGCGACCGATTTCTTTTTAACCATATACTTTACACGTAGCTAAATCATGTATGTCAGATCTGAAAGACCTATTTGTAGGCAGACGTCATCGTCACAACATCAGTCATACTACTACAGACAGCCATTTACTTTTTTTAATTTAAAGACCCCACATGGCTGCCACCTTCGCGGATAATTGATATAGCTTGCCTATGACTGACAAAACGAGCACACGTTTTATTTCGCATGTCAATCCTGTTAGTGCCACACAAGCGGACTAAATAATGCAGACAAAAGCCTAGATTGTTTTTAACTGCAGTAGGAAATAAATAAAACCGAGTATTCTGTTAGCCATTTAAATCATATTTATATCCGAGGCAGACTATGCAAAAGACTACCTAAAGTGGGAATAAATGAGGACGATAAAAGCTCAAAAAATAAGCACCAGAAGAACTCGGAAGTCGGAATCTTTCATGAAAACACTTTCCTAAGGCGATTTGGACAATTTTTGAGTTATGTGAATTCTGCACACGGTCACTGCGTATTTGAAGGAGAGTATAAACTGTTCAATCGGAGGAAGTGCTCGTTATGTTCTTTTTAGGTGGGTTTTTTGATAAGCGAATCTCTGAATGGAACCACTTCTCTGCCTACATATAGGAATATCGTGAAAAGGCAGTGCGTCGTTCTTCTCATGCTCGATTGTAAAATTGATTTTTGCATGTGCTTTGTTCATAGTCTTAAATAGAAATCATCCGTCCCCAGAATCACATCCTCCACATGTCGCCTATAGATGGAGGTTCGCTGTAAGTTTCGGGCAAATTTTTACTCAGAGTTTGGCATGAAAATGTCCGCTAAGACAGCCCTCGATAGACAATCCACAGCTGCATCGTCGGTCCGCCGATATAGCTGCCCGCTGAACAAGAATTGTATGCTCTTTCTGCATATCTGTAGTAGTTCCCGCAATTGCCTTTGTGCCGGACATGTGCCACACGTGTGCTGACAAATTATGCCAAACTCGCTACAAAAACTCGCTTGCTTAGATGACTTCCCTCCCCTTCCTCCCTCGCCATGCGCACCCGCATGTCAGACCTATCGCATTTTATCTCTTTAGGTCGATCTCTGGCCGAACGGTTTACCATGTCGGAAAAATACGCCATGGCCGTGAGCAGTTGAATAACAAGTCATTAAATTTTGAGTAAAGTCTACTAAAATGATAAATGACTTTTATATAACAGCAGTCAAGCTCCATCTGCGCCAATTATGGTAAATCTGACTAATTGGGGCAAATTCTAAAGTCATCACAATTTGTTTTGTCTGCAACTGTCTCTGGCGATGGTTTCGGTAGAGAAATAGAAGCCAGGATGCCAACAACGTGGTCAAAAGCCTTTACGACGTTACGGAATGTTATCTGCTTCAGCGACATCATTCAAACATATAGCATATGACCTAGCCCCGTTACCTGCTTGCGCAACTGGTGATGACACTTTTAAGCGCCTAAAGCGCGGCGTATTTTTTCTTGTCGCTTAATCCCTCTTTTGGCGGGCAGAATGCATGTCTTACGCAGTGTTAGTTTCCTTACTGTGGAGCGAAATTCTACTGCCATTCTCAACACACAAAGTCCATAGCTATAAAAGAGATGGATAAATCTTCTGGGGACAGTCCAGCGCAGAGCAGAAAATATAATTTAAACCTCCAATCCGTACTATTACTAAAGTCACACTTTAGCTTCTTCTTTTCATGCCAACCACGCCATAAATTAAGTCGAATAGGCTTCAGTCAGAAATGAATAGTTACAGCCTAGAAAAAGCCTGATTAAATTTACTCTTCATTTATTAATTGAACATTTTTAAGCATGGACTTTGTCAGCGATACCAAACAGAATCCACCTTACATTTACGAATCGAGTCTTGCACAATACTCAAACTAAACATTGCATCATGGCATGACTGTGGTTGGGTGTTTGTTAGTAGGAGCGAAGAGGCCAGTTCCATGGAATATTCGCGGGGAAAGCGACACGATCATTAAAAACAAGCGCATGATTGGTCTGAGGATTCGGATTCTCACTTTACTCCATCAACAGAGGCATAATCGGATAAGGTTGGTGGATTGTTTAGGTGTTGCAACATTTTTAGGATGTATTTCCTAGGCCACAAAATGCGTATCAGAGTTGGCAATTCCAGAGTACATTACAACCCGACTGACCAGTTGTTGAAGTAGGCTGTCGCCATGCAGTAGCTATGCGCCGGCATACAGGGCAAGATTATCGGCTCCCACACCAATCGCACCTCAACTCCGTCTTCCCAACCATTTAATTTACGATCGTAGGAGAAGAAGAAGAAGAAGAAGAAGAAGAAGAAGAAGAAGAAGAAGAAAACAACCAGCTCGCCTTTCTGGATTTCCTCGTATGCCGCTAGGATTTTGGTGGCTTAAAACCAAAGTATTCAGGAAAACGATAACTTCGACGTAGTTACTGATCTACATCAATAACCACCCAATCATTCAAAGCACAGTTGCATAAGGACGCTATGCCAGCGGATGGAGACACATGGTGGTGAAATGGATAACAAGGCTGCTGAATTACAATACCTTTGCCGGGTGCTTAGA